TAATGAGATCTCTCCTCTGTTTATCTCAAAAGTAGGAAAAAGATCAATTGGATGAGGGCATAATCTAATAAAATTCAAATTTAATGATTCAAATTTGATGATACCTGTTTTCCAGATTTTTGATCTTTTCAATTGCAGTCATGGTAATCAATGAATGGGAAATGAATGACTACAAAGAGGATTCCCTGGTCTTTGCAAGGCAATAAAAATTTTTACAACAGAACCCTAGTGATGGTTGCACAATTACATGAATCTACTAACACCAAGATGTTATGCATCTGTAATTGGTGATTTTTCTTTTAAGTAATTTCAAAGGAAATGTCAAATTTCTGCTCCAAAATGTAAATAACTAAATAGTCACTTGTAAAGACTTCCAATACACTTCCTTGCTGATGACCTGAGAAAACAGTGGAAGATGGCCCAAAGGCTTGGGCCCCTGCACCCTAGTGGGAAAGATGCACAAAACTCTTCGTTGCTGCCTTTGGACTGGCCCACCTCCAGACATTGTGGCCATTTGTAGAATGAGCACATATGGATGGAAGACCTCTAACTCTATGTCTTCCTCTCTCTGTAACAATGCCTCTCAAGAAAACTAATGTTTTTTTTTTTAATTTAATGTCCCAAAATAAAAGATCATACTGCTCCAGCAGAACTTTATTCTTTGTACCTTTTTCCTATGAATATTATTGTTACCCTGAATATTACATGGATTATAGTCATATCATGAAAAATAGATGAAAAGAGGAAAGGAAGGAGGGGAAAGGGGAAGAGAGGAAATTCTGGGTTTATTCTTAGAACTGTACCTACACAATTCATGAAATATGTTCTCTTTTCATTCATTTTAAAAACAATTGAAGGGGTAGGGGCTGTGTGGCAGTGTGTTAAATCCCAGGCTTGAAAGGTGAGCATCCCACATGGGCACAGGTTCTAGACCCCAATGCTCCTCTTCTGATCTAGCTCTCTGTTATGGCCTGGGAAAGCAGTAGAAGATGGCCCAAGTCCTGGGGCCCTGAACCCACGTGGGAGACCCGGAAGAAGCTCCTGGTTCATAACTTTGGATCGGCTCATTTATAGCCATTGTGGCCATTTGGGGAATGAACCAGCAGAGGGAAGACCACTCTCTCTACCTCTACACCTCTTTCAGTAATTCTGTCTTTTAAGTAAGTAAAAGTAAATCTTAAAAAAATTTTGAAAAGAAAAAAGAATGTAGCATTAGTATAGTTGTAATGATCTGTGATTACTTTAAATTTAGGGTGTATGGGAAAAATGGTCATTTTTCCATTCCACTGATTATACTTGTTGCTTATATTCCCTATAAACTAGGGTTTCTGTTCTTCCCTTAATTTTATGAGATTTACTTTGTTTATTACAAAGACACTGTTACATACAGAGAGAAAGAGGGATAGATCTTCCATCTGCTGGTTCACTTCTCAAATGGCCAAGACAGCCAGGACTGCACCAAGATGATGACAGGAGCCAGGAGCTTTTTCCAGGTGTCCCACATGGCTCCTAAGTCACAAGCACTTGGGCTGTCCTCTGATGCTTTGGTGCTTTAGCATGGAGCTGGATCAGAAATGGAGTAGAGACCCGTGCTGTGGCATAATGAGTAAGGCCACCTCCTGCAGTGCCGGCATCCCATATGGGTGCCAGTTCAAGTCCAAGCTTTTCAACTTCTGATCCATCTCTCTGCTATAGCCTGGGAAAACAGTAGAAGATGGCCCAAGTCCTTGGGCCCCTACAACTGTGTAGGAAGACCCTGAGCAAGCTCCTGGCCCCTGACTTTGGATCAGTGCACCTCCGGTAGCTGTGGCCTTCCAGGGAGTGACCCAGTGGATGGAAGACCTCTTACTCGCTCTCTCTACCTCTGCCTCTTTATAACACTGTCTTTGAAATAAATAAATAGATCTTGAAAAAAAAGAAGTGGAGTAAATGAGATTTGAACCAGCACCTGTATGGGATGCCAAATATTGCCTCAACCCTACTTTTTGGTTACTGAACTTCTTATTTGGTAAAGCACTTAGCCTTTTACTAAAATGCAAATATAAAAACCATCCAAAAATGGATGAAAGGAAGGAAGTAAGGAAGGGAGGAACAAAGGGAGAAAGAAAGGAAGAGGTACACTGGGAAAGACAGTTTTGAAAGCAGAGCAGAAAAGGGAATGTCAGCCGGCGTCGTGGTTCAACAGGCTAATCCTCCGCCTAGGGGCACCCGCACACTGGGTTCTAGTCCTGGTCGGGGTGCTGGATTCTGTCCCAGTTGCCCCTCTTCCAGGCCAGCTCTCTGCTATGGCCCAGGAGTGCAGTGGTGGATGGCCCAAGTGCTTGGACCTTGCAACCCACTGGGAGACCAGGAGAAGCACCTGGCTCCTACCTTCGGATCAGCGCAATGTGCCAGCCGCAGTGCACTGGCTGCGGCGGCCTCTGGAGGGTGAACCAGGCAAAGGAAGACCTTTCTCTCTGTCTCTCTCTCTCTCTCTCTCTCACTGTCCACTCTGTCAAAAAAAAAAAAAAAGGAATGTCGTTTATTCTTAGAATTATTCTATAAAATATACCCAAGAATTATTTTAGCCTAAAAAACAAATACAGGCCGGCGCCGCGGCTCACTAGGCTAATCCTCTGCCTAGCGGCGCCGGCACACCAGGTTCTAGTCCCGGTTGGGGTGCTGGATTCTGTCCCGGTTACCCCTCTTCCAGGCCAGCTCTCTGCTGTGGCCCAGGAGTGCAGTGGAGGATGGCCCAGGTGCTTGGGCCCTGCACCCCATGGGAGACCAGGAAAAGCACCTGGCTCCTGGCTCCTGCCATCGGATCAGCGCAGTGCGCCGGCCGCAGCGCGCCGGCCGCGGCGGCCATTGGAGGGTGAACCAACGGCAAAGGAAGACCTTTCTCTTTGTCTCTCTCTCTCACTGTCCACTCTGCCTGTCAAAAAATAAAAAAAATAAAAAAATAAAAAAAAAAACAAAAACAAAAACAAAAAAACAAATACAAGTCGGCGCCGTGATTCAATTGGCTAATCCTCCACCTTGAGGTGCCGGCACACCGGGTTCTTGTACCGGTTGGGTCGCCAGATTCTGTCCCAGTTGCCCCTGTTCCAGGCCAGTTCTCTGCTATGGCCCAGGAGTGAGTGGAGGATAGCCCAAGTCCTTGGGCCCTGCACCTCATGGGAGACCAGGAGAAGCACCCGGCTCCTGCCTTCGGAGCAGCATGACGCGCCGGCCACAGCACGCCAGCCGCAGCGGCCATTGGAGGGTGAACCAACAGCAAAAGAAAGACCTTTCTCTCTGTCTCTCTCTCTCACTGTCCACTCTGCCTGTCAAAAATAAAAAAATAAAAAACCAAATACATCCACTGGAGACAACATCAATCTTTAATAGAAATTTATATAAAACAGGTAAGCACTCACATTTCAGGAAAATTAAATACATAAAATTTGCACATTCATAAAATTCTGTACATGGAAAATCCTGACTTTCATAAAAATGTAAGCTTGCAAATCTTTCTGTAGAAATAACCTAAAAAATAAGAGTATAAAGGCTATATAATTCAGAATAAGTGTGACTCAAAAATAACACTGCATTGTAAAGAATGACACATCCTATAAAGTAAAACATAAGGAAGAATTTGCATTCCTAAACAATGTGACAGTGTAAAACAAAAAGACATGGTTTGACAGATCATAAAATAAAGGAAATATCAGAGATGGAAAAAATCAAATGAGGAATAGCAAGTACTAGAAAGTATACATTGCAACATAAGGGGAAGATATTTCAAGAACTCCTACCTGGTAAAGTGCTGCAGGACTAAGTCATCCCCAGCCCCCAAACAGCAATCGGAACAAAAACTCCATGAAAGCAGAAGCTTTCACACAGAGCTGCCTAGAAGGATATGGAAAACATGCACCACGACAAAGCTGTGTGCAGTTCATCAAAATGTCTTGAAAGCAAACTCACAACCACTTCTTTCCACAAACTTTTCAAAGTACCTCATGTTGGCCCCTGCATTACATTAAATAACTAGAACAAATGCTGGCACATAACAGAAACATCTTTGAAAGACAAAGAAATACACCTTTACCAAGAGAGAGTCCTCTGCCCAAATTCAGATTCTATAAGCTGACCTCAAGCCACAAATTTCAATCCAGGCTAGATCAGGTTCTTGTCTTCCTAAGCACACACCAATCCAGTTTTCTCTCACATAAGCCTCTCTCCATCCCTGGTATTCCGGAGACTTTTGTTGAAGTTTCCTAATTAACCGTGCACTCATACCACAGTCCCTAAGAAAGACCACACTATACCCCTCACCATTTTCTTACCCTCACTTTTCCTAAGGTCTGTCCCAGATCTAACACTTGGAGACTCCACCAGTTCTACTAGTAGACCTACCAGCTCCTCCCTATTACAACTCTACTGAAAGTCACCTGACCTCCTCCATACAATCCTTCCATTTCCCTGTCTATATCCAGGATGGCGATATACAGAAATTACCTGATTTCAGCTCCCAACACATTGCATGCCCCAGGTTCTTCCATGGCATCTAACAATCCAATCACACCACACAATTTACTTCCAATCCCATCATTCTTAGCCCCGAAATCTAAAACCCAAACTTTTATTAACACATCTCTCCAAACCAGACTTCTTGGGTTTTGTACTCTGACTCAACAGCACACACTTGTCCTCCAGGTCTCCCTCCCATTTCCTGCATACCCAAGTATTCCCCTATTACCATGTTTTTTGGCCCCTAGTGCTCTGCAGAGCCCTGGGGAACTCATTCTCCAACATACTACCCACTCCTGTTTCCATGCTCTCACACTCTGCTGAAGCCCACCAGGCCCCTGCATTTCTCCCCATGCCTGTGGGGCTACCCCACATGACCCTCCCTGCCACAGGGTGGAAGTCTACATCGTGTCAGCCTGGGCCGCCCAACCCCTGGGAACGGGCTATCCCTTCCCTTCCCCTTGTGCACTCAGGACATGGACACAACTAAGGGGGCCACATATGCTCACCAGTTGCTTCTCTCCCGGAAGAAGGTCCAGCTGACATTGAGCAGGAAGCTGTGCAGTCTCCAGAACTGGAAGAACACCCGGCAGCTGAGCTTCAGCGTCCACTCTGGGTGAGTTTCACATCCGTGCTCTGTGGGAGGGAGCAGAGTAGACAGACATCCACTTCTTGGCTTCCTCACAATAGATCTGCTGCCCCCCCGTGCCTCCAAACCTGCAGATTTGGGGGGAGAATGCTGCTGGGTAGATGCCCTGGGCATCTCTGTCCCATAAGCTTAAATGCAGCAAATCCCTCCTGCACTCTCCAAGCCTACCATACCGCTGCAGCCTATAACACCTCTCTCTCTCTCCCTCTCTCTCTTGCTCACCTGTTCTCACAATGTTTCTCTCTCTGTAATTCTTGCAAAAATGCAATAAAGCTTTTTTTTAAAAAAAAACACATTATCATCTCATTAGATACAGAAAAATAACCTGAAAAGATTCAATCCCATTCATTATTAAGAAAAAAAAAAACCGCCACAAAGTAGGTATAAAAGGAATAGGTATCAAAATCATAAAGGCTATGTATGACAATTCGAAGCCAATGGCATGCTGGATGGGCAAAAAGTGAAAGCATTTTTGTCAAACATGTAACACAAGGATGTCCCCTTTTACCACTCTGACAGAATGCAGTACTGTAAATTTTCACAAGAGAAAGAAAGGAGTAGAAAGAAAGAAATAGCACCTAGATTATAAAAGAGAAATTGAAATTCTAAATGCTTGCAGGTGACATGCTATGGTACGAGAAAAAATGAAAACAATCCACCAAACACGCTGCTAGAACTGGTGAAACAATTAAGTGAAGTCACAGGTTACAAATAAGCATACTGTGTAAGCAGCAGTGTTTATTCCTTAATGATGAACTCACTGACACAGCAATCAAAAAAATCCCAAAGATAATAACAACAGAAATCAAATGTTTAAGACTAAATGTAACCAAAGAAGCCAAAGAGCTCTATCATGAAAATCGCCATACACTGATGAAAGAAATCACCAAGGACACAAAAAATGGAAAGATATCCCTTTTGGTGGATTTGAAGAATCAGTATAATTAAAATCTCTAACCCACCTAAAGCTACCTAAAGATTCAATTAAATTTGTATCCAAACACCGATGACATTCTTTACAGAATTACATAAAACAAACCGAAAATTCATACAAAATCACACAAGATCCAGAATAGATAAGGTGTTCCTGAGAAAAAAGACAAAACAAAATTAGCCTAGATGCCTCACAACATCTGATTCAAAGTATTCTACAAATCTACACTAAACAAAATATCAAAGCACTTGCAGAAAAAGTGACACACAGACCAATGGAAGAAAACAAGGTGAGCTCCAACATTAATCCAAATATGTACAACACCAGATTTTTAGGATTCAGACCTATCCATTGGAGTAAGGAAAAACTCTTCAACAAATGCTGTTGGCAAAAATGGATGTATCTGTGTAGAACATCGAAATTAGATTCATAACTCCCATAAAATAGGAAAATCAACTCAAAACGGATCAGAGACCTAAATCTATAACCCGAGACTATGAAGCTTTTTGAAGGTAATACAAAGAAAAGCTCGAAGGCACTGGAATAGGCAATGGCCCTTGCAAAAGACCCTCAAAGACCAGCAGAAAAATCAAAACTAAACAAATGGGATTAAATGAAATTAAAAGCTTTGCACAGCAAAGGAAGTCATCACAGATGGAAGAGACATACAACAGAATGAGCAGAAGATATCTGTCAGCTACCTATCTGACAAAGGATTAATATCAAGAATACATCTGCAACTTAGAAAAAAATAGCAGCAAGAAAAACACAACCAATCCAGATATGAAATGGCCAAAGGAACTCAACAGACAGTTCCCCATAGATATACAGATGGCCAACAAATACAGGAAGAAATGCTCAACATCATAACCTATGAGGGAAATGCAAATCCAAACCACAATGGGATATCAGCTCACACGTACATACTGGCTAAAACCCAAAGGATCGGAGAGTCACAATGATGAGGAAGATGTGGGACAAGAAGAACACTTACACACTGGTGGTGGAAATGTAAATTGGTGCAGCTGCTGTGGAAAATGGTATGGAGATTTTTAAGAAACCAGAAATAGACTTGCCATATGATGGAGCAACCCATCAATTGGCTATAACCCAAAACACATGAACATATTGTATCAGAGAGATACGTACACCACAATATTTATTGCAGTATGCTTCACGGCAGCGAAAACAAGAAATTTTCATCAGATGAATGCGTAAGCATAATACTATACATACACACACACACACACACACGCGTGCGCACTCTCACACAGTGAAACAACCTTACAAATCCCTCTTTCCACAAACTTTTTCAAAAACCCTCATGACGCTCTCTGCAATACCTTAAATAACTAGAACAAATGTGGGTACATCACAGACACTCCTTTGAAAGCAAAAAAAAAAAAGAAAAAAAAACACATTTACCAAGAAAAAGTCCTCTGCTATAATTCTGACTTCTATAAGCTGACTACAAGCCACAAACTTCATTCCCAGGCGAAATCAGGTTCTCCATGTACCCAAGCCCCCTATTAACCCTTATTTTATTTCAGATAAGATCCTCTCCAACTCTTGGTACTCTGTAGACTTTGGTCGAATTTCATGATTAAATCAGCACACATTCCCAGGTCCCTCCTGCAAGTTCCCTCGGCCTGCCTCCTGATACCCTTTCCCTCACTTTTCCTAAGGTTGCTCCCCAGGCCCTGTCCCGGGTCTAACACTCTGATGCTCCACTAGTTCTTTTTTTCCTTTTCTTTTCTTTTTTTTGACAGGCAGAGTGGACAGTGAGAGAGAGAGACAGAGAGAAATGTCTTCCTTTTGCCGTTGGTTAACCCTCCAATGGCCACCGTGGCTGGCGTGCTGTGGCCGGCGCACCGCGCTCATCCGAGGCAGGAGCCAGGTGCTACTCCTGGTCTCCCATACAGGTGCAGGGCCCAAGCACTTGGGCCATCCTCCACTGCACTCCCAGGCCCCAGCAGAGAGCTGGCCTGGAAGAGGGGCAACCAGGACAGAATCTGGCACCCCAAACAGGACTAGATCCCGGTGTGCTGGAGTCGCAAGGCGGAGGATCAGCATAGTGAGCCTCGGCGCCGGCCTCCACTAGTACTTACATGTAGACCTACCGGCTCCTCCCTATTACAATTCTCCTAAAAGTCGCCTGCCTTTCTCCATACAATCCTTCCATATTCCCTATCATAGGATAGTGACATACAGAAATAACCTGTTTTCAGCTCCCAAAACCTTGCATGCCCTAGGTTCTTCCATTGAATCTAACCCTCTACTGCCGCTGCATGAAGTACTTACAATCCCATCGTCCTTAGCTTGAAACTCTAAAACCCAAACAACTACTACCATGTCTCCCAAAACCATACATCTTATGTTTTGTACTCTGAGTCAACACATGCAGTTCTCCTTCCAGGTCTCCCTCCCACTGGCTGGACAACCAGTCTTCCCTTCTTAGCATGTTCTATGGCCCTTAATAAACTACAAAGAACCAGGGAACTCATTCACCAACATCTTATTCACCTCTGTCTCTGTGGCCCCCACTCAATTCTAGGAATGCTAGGCCTCCACATTTCTGTCTCTACATGTATATAGGGCTCCCCGACTTGACCCTCCATCCCAAAGGTTGGAAGTCCACCTTGTTCTCAGCCTGGCCAGCCCAACTGCAGGAACAGGGTTCCCTTCCATTCCCTCCGCTCCCCTTTGGGCCCAAGGGCTGCCATCAACAGGACACAGCCACATGTACTAACCAGCTGCTCCTGTCCAGGGTGAAGGCACAGCTGGGTTTTACCAGGAAGCCAAGGAGGTTCCAGAAATGGAAGATTACCCAGCAGCTGAAATTCAGCGTCAACTCGGTGTCCAGTTTCATATCCATGAAAATGTCTGCAAAAAAGTTTTTTTTTTTTGACAGGCAGAGTGGACAGTGAGAGAGAGAGAGACAGAGAGAAAGGTCTTCCTTTGCTGTTGGTTCACCCTCCAATGGCCGCCACAGCTGGCATGCTGCGGCCGGCGCACCGCGTTGATCCGATGGCAGGAGCCAGGAGCCAGGTGCTTTTTCCTGGTCTCCCATGGGGTGCAGGGCCCAAGCACTTGGGCCATCCTCCACTGCACTCCCTGGCCACAGCAGAGAGCTGGCCTGGAAGAGGGGTAACCGGGACAGAATCCGGCACCCCGACCGGGACTAGAACCCGGTGTGCTGGTGCCGCTAGGCGGAGGATTAGCCTAGTGAGCCGCGGCACCAGCCAAAAAAGTTACAAAACATTAAAGAAATGGAAGAAGACACACAAAAATGGAAAAATCGTTCATACTGATTCACTGGCAAAATTAACATAATGCAAATATCCATTCTACCATAAGCAATTTACAGACAAAATGGGATCCTAAGCAAAGGTCTAATAGCATTTTGCCCAGATGGAGAGAAAACAATGCTAAAATTCATATGAAAACACAGAACATCTGAATAGAGAAAGCAACCTTACACAACATTGACAAAACTCGAAGCATCGCAATAACAGATTGCAAGACACAGAACAGGACAGTTACAATCAAAACAGCTTGGTATAGTAAAAAAACTGACATACAGAACAAAGGAACAGAAAAGAAACATCTGAAATAACACACACATATCTACAACTAATCTATCTGTCAAGAAGGAGCCGAAGATCAATCCCAGGTACAAGGGACAGTTTCTTCAAAAAATGGTCCTGAGAAAACTGCACAGATATGCAGAACTCTGAAAGAAGACCCATACCTTACACCTATACAAAAAGCAACTAAATGGCTGGCGCTGTGGCTCAATAGGCTAATCGTCTACCTGCGGCGCACCACACCGGTTTCTAATCCCGGTCGGGGCACCGGATTCTGTCCCGGTTGCCCCTCTTCCAGGCCAGCTCTTTGCTGTGGCCCAGGAGTGCAGTGGAGGATGGCCCGGATCCTTGGGCCCTGCACTCACATGGGAGACCAGGAGAAGCACCTGGCTCCTGGCTCCTGGTTTCAGATCAGTGTGGTGCGCTGGCCACAATGCGCCGACTGCAGTGGCCATTGGAGGGTGAACCAACGGAAAAGGAAGACCTTTCTATCTCTCTCTCTCATTGTCCACTCTGCCTGTCAAAAAAAAAAAAAAAAGCAACTAAAAACACTTCAAGGAACGAAATCTAAAACTCAGTATCATCAAATTACTAGAGAACACTAGTCTACTCTGGGTTAATTTCACATCCGTGTCCTCTGGGAGGCAGGAGGGGAGGCAGGCATCTGCTTCTCGGTTTCCTCATGGCTGAGCCACCGCCCACCCCCACTGCCTCTGAACCTGCAGATTTCGGGGGAGAATGCCACTGGGAAGCCCCGGTTCCCAAATCCTTTGAGGCAGGCCCTGGGCATCTCTCTGTCCGTAAGCTTAAACGCAGCAAATCCCTCATGCACTCTCCAAGCCTACCGTAACACTACCGCCAATGCCACTGCCAGCTGGCCTCAACCTCGACACCACTCCCACAGACATCGCCTACTTCTCCCCGAGGCCTACTATGCAAGCACCATCCAACTAACACCTGCCCCTTCCTCCAAGAATACACAGTGTCAGCGGAAGAGGCCACACTACCTTGAAGAACCACGGGCTGCAGCCTGAGCCCCAGCCTGACATGCCTTTCCTGTGCTCACCATCATCAGGAGCACTCCAAGGGCATTGTTGCTCCCAATCCAGCCCACCAGAAGCTCAGGGCAGTGTGGAGCTCTCTACACCTCCCGTGCTAACACCCAGCCACTCCCACATGGTGCACAGCTCTGCCAAACTGCCCATGGTCACGGCTACTGAACGACAGATACCCACCCAGCATCCTGGCCTGGTCAGTTCCGGGGCTGCTGCCTGGAGTCAGACAACCAAGTGTGCAATGTGTTGTGCCACAGACAGGGAGGGAGGGTTGGGACTATCACCGTGTATCTAAATTGCATTTATGAAATGCATGGAATTTGGATCTCTTAACTAAAAAACGGTATCTTACAAGAACACCTGAACTGTCTTCTCTTGGTCGTTTCCTAGCCCTTTCATTATGTCACAATTATAGATGACGCAGTCACTCATCACTGTGTCCTGGGGAACAGGCTGCCCTGTTTGAAGTCCTAACTCAGAACTTTTCATCTCACACTAGCAGAATACACATTCTTCTCATCAGTCCCTGGAACATTCACTAGGACACAACATATGATAGGCCAGAAGCAAGCCTAGTAAACTCAATGACTGAAATCATTTCACCCATCTTCTATGACCAAAATGCAAGGAAACGGGAAATCAACAACTCAAGAAACTCCAGAACATATGCAAACACATGGAGACCGAGGAACATGCTCCTGAATGAATGGTGGGTCGTAGGAGAAATCAAAATGGAAATCAAGAAATTTCTGGAAATGATTGAAGATAACAGTACAACATAACAAAATGTATGGGACACAGCAAATGCAATGTTAAGAGGGAACAAAATCAGTATATTTAGGAATAAATTTAATCAAATAAGTGAAAGAGCTCTACAATAAAAATTATCAAACACTGACCAAAGAATAATCAAGGACACACAAAAAAAAGGAAAGATATTCCTTACTTGTGGATTGGCAGAATGTGTATCATTAAAATATCTATTTCATGGAAAGAAATCTACAGAATACCAATGACATTCTTTACAGAATTAGAAAAAACAACCCTCCAATTCATACAGAACCACAGAAGATCCAGAACCGCTAAGGTGATCCTGATGAAATAAAAATCAAGCTGGAGACATCACAATACCTGACTTCACAGCGTACTAAAAAAGTGTACTAATTAAAACACCATGTGCCTGGCAATAAAAAAACTGATACATACCAATGGAGCGAAACAGAGAATCCCTAAGTTAATCTAAATACTTATGGCCACCTGATTTTTGACAAAAGGGTTCAGACCTT